ATTCCAATCTATGGCTTGCTATTGGGAGCAGTTTTGGTCTGATCTTCTGGGAGGGGTCTGGTTGGATTTTCCCTAGGGGGCCTCTTTCCCTCCCTATTCCTCTCTCCCATGCTGTAATATTCAAAGAAATGGAAAGACAAAAAAAAAAGAAAGAAAATCTCATCACTTGAAGCCACCAGGAGCTGCGGCCCAGCCAGCCCGGGCTTTCTCCGGAGCAGAGCTATACCGCTGGGCCTTGGCAGCCTGGATTCTCCGTGTACGTGTGCATCCCCAGCCAGGTGGGCGGCCACCAGAGCAGCTTTTTACAATCCAGAGACAGAAAAAATCTAGAAGCAACAGCGAAACAAAGAACCTGTTTCCTTCCAGGCACCTATTTCTGTTGCCTCCTTCCCTGCTCCGCCTGACCCTGGCATCAGTCAGCCCTCCTGGGGCGTGTACCTCACTGCCTGCCCCAGGACCGGGAACCTGTCTACCCCTTCCCTCCCCACTGGCCCAGGGGAGGCACCCCTCACACCCAAAGATGCTTTTGCCAAGATGGCTGTGCTGTCCCTTTGAGTTCCTGCCTCTTGTACATTGCTTCTGGAACTCTGGGCTGGGGATGAGCAGCTGATTTCCTGCCTGGAGAGGTTGATGGGGGAGGAAAATGAGGACAGCAGGGTTTGATGTGACTGAGGAGGGAGGACCAGGAATGATGAGGTGGTCTTGTTTGGGTGGGAGTGGGGGTGGTATAGGGCACAAAGGTGAAATATCACCTTCCCTACCCTACACCCTCCTACAGAGGAGGCAAAGCAAGATACCAGGGCCTCCAGTCAGGACACCCATGTTCTGGGGGCTCAACCCTAAACCTGTAGGCCCTAAAGAAGTGTCAGGCTTGGACTGTCTCCTGAGTACCTCTTCTGGTCCCCTCTCTAGCCTGTCACCCTGGCCCTCCAGAACACACACACACACTCTGGGGGTAGCATAGTCCCATTGCCACACTAACACAGCCCCATAATTGCCATTTCCTCAGGGGTGGCTCTCCACCTCTGCTCTGACCCCCTCGTCTTTTTTGCCCCTTCCTCTTTTCTCACAAGTGCCATGAGTTTTCAAACATCTTTGGGTCTCAGTCTGCTGCTACCATGAACTTTTTGGGTTAAAGGGGAAGGGCTCTAGGGAGAAACTAGAGAAAAGGGACAGGTAGGTGGCTGGAGGGGCCCTTTTTGCTGCTAGAAAGCCCCTCCCTTCTGGGGAGCTGAGGCTGGCTTGTCCCCGTCAGGGGAGAAGGGGTCAGACCAAAGATGGTGGTTTGTCCTGTGTGGAAGTACATGTGTGGGGAGAAGGCAGTGTTGGGTTCCATCTCTAGCTTTTCCTGGCAGGGAGGCTTAACCCTGTTCACCAGAAGACCATGGGTGAGTCTGGACCCAGAGAAGTAAGAGTGGGGATGATCTCGTCCAGGTGGCTCTGTGAGGAGGGTGGGAACCAGCTCTGTGGCCTGCCTTGGTTTCAAGAGGGGCAGTTAGAGGTCTGCCAAGAGCTGGCAGGAGACAGGTAAATGGAGGAGTTGGCCTGACACCAAGAGGACTGGGAAAGTTAGCAGGGTGGGAGAGTTTCCAGGGGAACTGGAGGCATGCAAGGAGTCCCCCATCATCTCCCTGCCCAGCCCTTTTATCTCCAGACACGGACAATCAAGGGGAGAGAGGGTAAATGGGTCCCTTGGTTCCCATTCCAGCCAGGTTCACCAAGGTGAGTTCGTGAGTTCCTAGGCCTCAAAGCTGTGTGGCAGGGCCCCCTGGTGGGGCTGAACACCACTGCAAAACACCACCCAGAGCCCAGGTGTCCATCCCCGCACCCCAACCAGACCTGGTGCCTTGACACCCCCACCCCAGCTGGGACGGTATAGAGAAGAAAGGGTCTTGGTTTCCTCTCCTATTTCCTTCCTTGAATTCATTTGCTTCTCAATCTTGTTAATTTTTATCTGGGGTGGTTTTGTTTTGTGGGTGTTTTTTTTTGTTTGTTTCCCTTGCCTTCCTTACTGTGTCTCCACCTCTTTCCATTTTTCTCGCTGTCTCTATGTTCCTCTTCTCTCAATTTCTCTGTCCATTCGGGCCTCCCCTCCTCCATGCCCCCAGTCCCTCCTTGGTCTCCTTTTCGATATGCCAAACCAATTTTGGGTCGAGTGCATTTAACGAGAACAAAACAAAAGGCTCATAACAACAAGAACGTTTCAGAAAAAAAGTTTTAAAAAATTGTTGAGTCAAAAAAACAATAAAGAAAATAAGATTTCTTGGAATGATGAGTGGTGTGACTCATTGAGGGGTGAGAAACCGGTGAGTGAATCTGCACTGAGCACCCACCTGAGGCTCTGACTGAGGAGCCTGCACTGTAACATTTAGAACCCATGGCAGAGGCCTGGAGTCACAGAACCAGAACCTACTCAGAACTTGGTAGGTTCTTGGGCCTGGCTGAGCAGCAATTCAGGTACAGTTTTTCGTTGAACACTAGGGTGGGTAAAGGTTATTAAAACTCCACTTTAAAGACAAGGAAACTGAGGCTTACAATATCTGGATGCACACCCTAGTCTCTCTGGGCCAGGCAACTGTGCCATGTGTCTAGAGAAGCCCTTCCTGGCCTGGACATACTAATATGTCCACAGGCTTTATTAGAGCAAAACGAAATTTTACGCTGTGCCTGTCTGATTCCTAGACCCCCCTCCCACACACTACTGAAATGGCGCTTTTTCTAAAGTGACAATGGATTTGCAGCATGTGTATTTCGAATTCTCAAATGGAACTGCCAGTGAATAGAGAAATGACCACTCAAACAGTGAAAGTATCTCCATGCTCCTCTGCCCTCAACAGCACACTTCCCCGTTTCTCCTCCCATCTCCCCAGCCACTCCTTCCCAGTCCTGGTGGCTGGTGCCTTCTCATCTCTTGACCTCTTAATGTTGGCAAGGCCAGGAGCTCAGCCTTAGACCTTTTCCCTACCACCTTGGGAGAGCTTGTCCCATCTCATGGTTTTAAATGCTATCTATATGCTGAGGAGTCCTGAACATAGGGCTCTAGTCTAAACTACCTTGAGCTCCAGATTTACATTCATCCAACATCCCACTCCACATCTACCCCGGGTGTCTGTTAGGATCGCAAACTTAATCTGTCCTAAACCGGATTAAGTTCTTGGCCACCACTCCCCAGCTCCTCCCAAGTGCTTTCCCACCTCAATGGCAAGTCCATCCCAAGACTCAAGCTAAAACTCTTGCAGCTTCTCTTGACTCATCTCCTTGTTTCATACTCCACATCTATTCTGACAGTAAATGCATCAGCAGCTCTAACATTAAAAATATCCAGCATTGCCCTAACTGGTTTGGCTCAGTGGATAGAGCATGAGCCTGCGGACCCAGGGGTCCCAGGTTCGATTCCGGTCAAGGGCATGTACCTTGGTTGCGGGCACATCCCCATTAGGGAGTGTGCAGGAAGCAGCTGATAGATGTTTCTCATCGATGTTTCTAACTATCCCTCTCCCTTCCTCTCTATAAAAAATCAATAAAATATATTAAAAAAAAAAATCCAGCATTAACTAGTTCTCACCACTTTGGTTCAAGCCAACCCTGTCTTTCTCTAGGACTACTGCAGCAGGCTCCTTACTAGCTCCCCTGTCCCCCTTCAGGCTTTTCTCAACACAGAAACCACAGAGATCTTGGTAAGCATATTTTGTCCTTCCTTGGCTCAAAACTATCCAATGGCCTCCTCTCTCACCCAGACGAAAGACTAACAGCACAATCACTGACAAGGCCCTACAGAGCTCATTCCCATGGCTCCCCTCCTTCCTTCCATGCCAGCCGCACTGGGCTCCTCATCTGCAAACATGCAGGCACTCTCCTGGCTGCCTCAGGGCCTTTGCACTGGCTGTTCTAGCAGAGCTTTTGCAAATCAGAGCTTCCCAGCAGGCTCTTCCCTTTAAACTGCTATTGGCCATTCCAGAACTTCCTAAACCTGGTCTTGCTTTATCTCTCATAGTTCTCCCATCTCACAAACTATCCTTTTTGCTTGTTTACTGTCTGCCTCCCCAATTAGAAGGTAATATAGAATAGTGTTTTTTTAATGCTG